TTTAAGTTAAAGTAATGCCATTTTATCAGGTCCAAACTCATTAGGAAAAGAGGGTTGAGAGGAAAAAGAAATAAATGTATATATGGATTTTCCAGAAGAGAAAAAAAAAAACAGGACAGGCATAGTATACAAGCATAGCAGAAAGACCTTTCTTTCACCAAGGTTTTAACTAGGTACATCTAAATCCTCATCTAATGCAACCAAATACAAAAAGCACGATCATGAAGCTTAAATTGGTTTAAGATACAAGACAGCTTTGCAGTCAGTCTTAGGAAACTGTTACAGGTGATTTAGTTATGTCATTCATTTAACAGATGAATTACATTCATGCAACTGTTTCTGAATAGTAAATTTTCATCTCTAAACCTGGTTTATGTACTCCATTTATTTAATGGAGTACAATTTCTGACCATACTGTTTCCATGCTAACACAAAAGAACAATTTCTCATATGCAGACTTTTGCATAGAACCAGAACAATGTGCACTTGTAGAAGAAATTCTAAGCTACCATCCAACAAGTGGTGGTTGGGTATGCTTGATTGGTGGTTATGCTTGATTTTCCCAGAGAAGGAGTCAGCTAAGCTCAAAAAACTGTATATGGGAAAGGGCGTGCAAGTCCATAAACAATCAACCAGTACAGTCAGAAAGACTACTGGAATCGCTAGCTGTGGAACTGGGTGGCTTTCATAGGCATAGTCAGAGCTGATCATGCAAGCAAAATGGAAGAAATAACTCAGGGATGCAAAGAGAATTACTTCAAGGATTAAGAAAGAAAAATCATAAGCCCAACTCCATTATTATTACATCTGGAACAGCACAAAGGGAGGAATTTAATTAAAATCTCAGGCCATTATGACCTCAACCCTGAGAACATAACTTTGACCTCCAACCTCTCTGTGTCCAAATGATTTTCAGGCAAAGCCACTCTAAATGAAGCAAATTTGCCACTATGTTTAAAAAATAAAAAATAAAAATCTTCAAATAAAGCTTGCTAATAGCCACTGCTAAGTACAACTAACAAATATGGTAGATCAAAATAAACTTTTAAGTGCATTTCTGCTGTCTAGTAAGTTAAAATACATTTAGCACTGTCCTTCAAGTAAGTAATCAATTGAGCCTCAGCACTCATCATGTCAGTCTAGGTACTTAAACTAACAGACAGTTGAGGTACACCAGGAAACGTCAGAGCCAATTCTTCATATGTAAAGAATTTACAAGTTAGTCCACTGTATTGCAGCTTTCAGTTTGTTCTTTCAGATGACAAACTAGGGAAAGAAAAAAAAAAAAAACGATACATGAAAAAGTAAAACAGAAAAAAAAAAAATCTGCAGACAACGCACTGGCCATACTCACGTATTTTCACCACTAAATGATTTTTGTGGTTACAAACATTTTATGGACATTATAGGAAAACATAGCAGAGATGACTTGTTAAAACATAATGTCATTCTTAGTTGAGCACTCAACATTTGCATTTTATTCTGTAAAATGGTAATAATCATGTAATAACTGAATATAGTATCATACACTGACTGTCCGATTATGCATGGAGTAGAGTTCTTAAGTAAAACAGAAAAACTTGATGACCACTTGTAAGTCAGCAAATAACATGACATTCATCACAGCAACCTGAAAATATAACCTTCCTCTAGTTAATTAAGTACAGCACAGCATATCATTGCACACAAACAAAACACACAGAATGCTTCCCACCTTAAACAGAAATTAAATTATGCTATTTTAAAAGCAAGGCCATCCTCACTCGTAAGCATTATGGATGGTTTTTTACCACCAAAACACAAGCCCTTTTAACATAGACAAAATTTTAAGTTACTGTCAATCACAAAGGCAGAACATGAAGTAGGTACCCAATAACGACAGCCTAAATACACATCTACAGGGATAATAAGACGTCTGTTTCTTGTCATTTTAAAGAGATGGGGAAAGTAATGGTAGAACCAGTTGCACTTGCCTATTTCTTCCTTACAGTTTCACTTGCACTGTGATGATGCGCGCACGCGCACACACACACACACACCTCCCCTAAGCACTTTCCCCCATAAGCTCTGTCAGTTTCTAACTGCTGTTTGAATGAGAGGCAGTCATTAGTGTGCTAAGTAGTCATCTCTTCAGCACAAAGAACAGGTAACTCGAACTCACCAGTTTGTCACACCCTCTACTTTTGGATGACCTATGCTACCCCATAATTTTGAAGTACTTGTTCTGATTTTTAAAAAAAAAAAAAAAAAAAAAAAAAAGGAGGATAAACAATATCGCTGATAATGCCACCGTTGTTTTATTCCTTCCTACAATGCTGCAACATGATTGCAAGACTTCCAGGTCTGTGCCGAAACAAACTTCAATCAAACTTCCAGTAGCAAATAAGGCTTTCAATCTCACATGGTCTCACTGCACTGTATATAGTTTTCAGGCTGTTGATTTAAATACAGAAGCACTTATATCCAGTAAAACTAATTCATGAATCTAATTCAGAGTACAGTAGCAATCTTTCTCTTGGCCACTTAAGAGTAAATTACAGAACAAACGAGCATATACAGCACATCTTCATTCAGACATGAAGCAGTGCTATTTATCGTAACAGCAAGGATTGCTTTCAATGCAGAATAATCCTTTTGTCTCCTTTTTATTACACTTCCAAATATCAACTAAACTTACAGTCTAATACACAAAACTTGTGTTTTCAAATCGGCAGGTGCGAAGAATATGACACTATAAACTTACTTGAAGACGGAACTTCAAAAGATGTCTCGCATAATTAAAAGATCCTAGACACGGGCAGCTTCTTCCTGGCTTTTAACTTACTTCAGTCAAGCTGTCCTGAGTAAGTTTCCTCTGTATTTCCTTTAAACCCAACAGTATGCCTAATCTAGCAGGTTGGAGTGGTTTGAAACATCATTATGCATCCTTGCTAGCAATAACAAAAACAAAACCATGTTCAAATCACTAAACCAGTCAACACTACTGACTACATTCTTTTGCATCTTCAAACACCATTATCAACACAAGCTTTTATTTAGTACCTCTACTTCCAATTGTGTGTCAACTGGACAACATTTCCAAAACAACAACAAAAAAATAAAAAAGAAAATGTCTAATACATACAAAGAATATCATTACATTTTTCTTACATTTGAAGCCAATGTCTGTCAAGACAGTAGATAAGGAATGAAATGCTACCAGCTGCATACTTTTCAAAACATTACATTCATAACCACTTTGCAAGTTATATCTAGCTCAGAGCTTTAATGGAAGTGCTGCTTCTTACAGACGAGTCAGTATTTTATTCTGGAACTATTTCAGTCTTGGGAGATCTCTAAATGTAAGAAAAAAAAAATAAGAAAGATAAAATCTAAGTAGGCTACCTAGATTAAACAGTCATTTGGGGGGGAAAAAAAAAAACTAAATAAGTGGAAGCTGTTGAAGCAAATGTAGAAACATTACGTATGTCTCAAGTATAAAGTTGAGAGGTGACCTTCCCTTACTGATTCTACATAGCCAGTGTGAGTAGGCTGGGCAACTGCAGCAACTACAGATGACTTGGGAGTATTGGTGAAGGTAAGCTGGCTGTGAGCCAGCAATGTGCCCTCACAGCCCAAAAAAGCCGACAGTATGATAGGCTGCAAAGGCAGTATGGTCAGAAGGGTGAGGGAGGTGATCTTTCCCCTCTCTTGCCCCTTTGCCCTGTGCTGCAGAGGCCTCACCTGGAGTACTGCATCCAGATGTGAAGTCCTCAATACAGGAGACGCATGGACCTGTTGGAGTGTGTCCAAAGGAGGGCCACAAAAAATGATCCCTGCGCCTGGTGACACTTGAGGTCAGGCTGGATGTGGCTCTGAGCACCTGACTGAGCTTTAAGTGTCCCTGGTCATTGCAGGGCATTTGGACTAGATGATCTTTAAGGGTCCCTTCCAACTCAAACAATTCTATGATTTTATGATTCAATTCCATACTAGCAAGTTCAGGATGGTACTTCACAGCCTTTTAGAAGCAGAAATCTTTCAAGGCGTGATAATTATCAATACTAGGAATAGCAGAAGTTATTATGCTCGCATTGACACAAGTCGGTTTTAACAACATTTTAAAAACATTCTATGTTGATTGTCTATGCCGACATTAGAGCCACCAGATCAGGTGGGCTGCACAAACCCACATACAGAACTGAAGCAGATTTCCATCATGTAGAATTTTAAATAATGCTTTGAAAGCTGCATCCTTCCAAGCTTCCAGTTGCAGTACTCTTACACATCTCTTTAGAAAAGGGACAGGTGTTTTCCTAACTATGTTCCTAAGGACATGGTCTCACCGAGTACCATCAGTTCTACTCTGTTCAGATCTGTATTCTCATAAATACACCGTAAGATAGCTGTAAGAACAACTTAAGTTGAAGGAATCATAGAATGGTTTGGGCTACTAAAGACCTCAAGTATCATCGACTTCCAAGCCTTCTGCCATGAGCAGGGCTGCCTCCCACCAGCTCAGCTGCCCAGGGCCCCATCCGACCTGGCATTGAGTACCTCCAGGGGTGGGGCATCTTGGCAGCTGTGCCAGAGCCTCACCACCCTCTGGGTAAAGAATTTCTGACTAACACCTAACCTAAATCCCCCCTCTTTTAGTTTAAAGCTGTCCTCCTTTCTCCTATCACTATCTACTTGTACGAAGAGTTGATTTTCCTCTTAAGAGCCCTTTCACTATTGGAATGCCACTATCAGGTCTCTCCTGAGCCTTCTCTTCCCCAGGCTGAATAAAACTAGTGGAAGGGTGCAAGGCTTCTATTTCAATTCATTTTGTCACCAACCAAAGGGCTGTGTAACTGCACAGCATCCTTTAAGAAACACACAGTGAGTTTCACGGTACAGACTCCTTATCTGACCTGCCACTAAATACATATATATATACATATGTAAAGTTCACACATGCCCTACCAAATGGCAACAACAGTTCAGAAAAAGCAAAACAACAACAAAAAAAGCCACAGTACCTGGTAGCAAGAAGACCTGTAACAATGTACTTAGCAGGCTTCAGAGAGGGAATCAGTTTACATTAGAAGATCAATCTATGGATGAGATGAAGTAGTTAAGATGAACCTAGGTTTGAGAAGCAGCTCAACTTTTCTCCCCCCTCCTCCATTTTAAAATGCAAATCTTTTCACCCACAACCTTAGCTGTTCTGTGAGACTTCAGAAGGCAATTATGAAAGGCAATCTGGAGAAATACTGGAAGTATTTGCTGTTTTTCTTGGATGTTCAAGAGCGTACAGGGACAATGAAATGGAGTTTCTGAGTCCTGGCTCCTCAGACACATCTATTTCCTGCAGAAGGCAGGAAATGGCTAGGCTGCTTCAACACAAAGCCTGCATACAGCGATACTTCCATACTTCCAAAAATACCTGCGAAGCAGCAAAGGAAGACCCAGGCTGTGGTAACAGCAGACCTCCGCTGCGCCCCATTCCGCTCAGGGCACGTTCGCTCCAAACGAACACCCCTCGCTTTGGGTCTCGAAGGAGCCAACCCAAGTCACTAAAACTTGCAGAAAACCACCACAAGCTGACCACGCGAAACGCGCACACCCACACACCTCGGACTATGCGCATCCAGCCACTCCAGCGCCGGCAGCACGACTTTGTTTCTCGGGGCTTCGGGCACCCCCCCACGCCTACCTGCGTGCCCCCAGACCACGGGAGGGGCTGCGTGGAGATCGCAGCACACAGTTCCAATAAAGCCATACGCAAGCCCCGCATCCCCCTCCCCCCACCTCACCCCCCGACGGCGCACACGAAGTTGACGCGCAGCCCCCACGCACACAGAGGCATCGGGGCCGCTCCCTCGCCCCTTCCCACCCTGCCGCGGGCCGCACGAATCCCAAGCACGGGCCTCCCCCCGCCCCAGGGACGCTGCAGGCCCCGGCCCCACTGACCTGCCGGGGTGGGGGGCGGCGCCGTGTCCGTGTGCGGGGAGGGGCGCGGTCTCCGGCCGCCGGAGGGGTCCGCCGCTTCGCGAGCCGCCGGCGCCCTGCCCTGCCCGTCCTTCGTGGGGAGAGGGAGGGCGAGAGGAGGGGAGGGCTAGCGGGGTAGGGGGGAGGGGAGGAGAGGGATACCGGCCCCTCTTCCCCTTCCCCTCGCGGAAAATGAAAAATAAATAACAATTAAAAAAATAAAAAATAAAAAACGACGTGTGGGGGAGGTGTTTAAAATTAAAAGGCTCGGCCTGGAGTTTAAAACAAAGAGGCGGAAATAGCCGAGCGCGGCCCGAGAAGAGCCGAGTGGGGGCGCCGGGCTCAGGGCGCATGCGCCGGGCTCGGAGCTCGCTGCTCCCTCCCCCGAGGAGAGGGGCGGCCCACGCGCGTGCGTGCCGGGGGGCCCTGTGTTGGGGGGCGGCTGCCGTGCCGTGCCGTGCCGTGCCGTGCCGTGCCCTTGGTGTCAACGCTCCCGGTTGCTGCGGGAGGTGCGAAGCTGAGGGAGGAAAGGGTCTTGGACCGTGCGGAAGGCGTGGAACGAGGAGAGAACGGGAAGTGTGTGAGAGAGAGACTGCGTCGTGTTACCTGGTGTCGAATTCGGCTCAGATGGAGTCCGTACTGCGCTCATACCGCTCCTTGTGTGGCTTATCCTGTGTTCCTACTACAGACCTTCCTATCACATGCAGCTTAGACCGTGGGTTAGAATAGCTTAAAGACGTATCTGTCACAATCAGACCAGGTAGAAGATGCAACATTTCAGCAAACTCTTTGCCCCTGCTCCAGCTAGCCAATTGGCTATGGTCTTTAGAGGTATATCTGCTGTGGCATAGCTTTATCTACGAGCCACCCTCCCTTCAGATCTGCCAGCTGTGTCATGGACCTATCCACAGCCACACGTGTCCAAGGTCTACCTACTCAAGTGCGGATTTACTAATGGGCCACAGCTTTGTACCTGCTGCAGCATGGACTTATCCCTAACTGCTGTTTTGAGGTGTTCCTGCCCTGGCACAACATCTTTAATTGGCCACAGTCTTTTTAGATACTTGCTGTGTTGCAGTCTCATTCCCGGCCACAGATGCTTCAAGGTATTCTGGGCTGTACCTGCTACATTGCAGACTTTTCCATGGCCACAAATGCACCAGGGTTTATATTCTCCCGTGTGGGCTTATCCACAAGTCACTAGCTCAAGTTCTGTCTGGAGTTTCAGCCTGCCTAGTACAGCAGCACAGCAACAGCAGCAATGCTTTGGCTTTCAACCAGCCCAGGCACATGGCCATGGCTGTTACCAAAGTGATCCCAGGCATAGCAAAACAATATGCTAAGAAGTACAGCAAAGGAGTACAGCAGAAGGCAGCCAGTAACAAGCTCTGAACTCTTAGATACAGTAAGGCAAGCAAATCCTATGGCAAGCACAGGGGCCTACCAATTTGCAGCTAAACAGCCATAAAATCTATATATTTGGTGTAGCATACTCCATGCTCCTAACAAATCTTGTCTTCTTCAACACTTTGTGCCACACAGTGGGCCCAAAAAGCATCTGTTGTGTTTAACAGCAAGCAGCCGAGCCCTGCACTGTCCTGGGGACGGGGGAGAAAAATGAGAAGATAAAAGTGTAAGAACTCCTGGGTTAAGGACAGTTTACTGCTCAAAGCCACAAGAGCAAGCAAAGCAAAGAAAGGGATTTGATCACTACTTCCCATTGGTAGGCAGGTGTTCAGCTACTTCTAGGACAGCAGGGCTCATCATATGTAGTGGTTTCTTGGGAAGACGAATGCTATCAATCCAAACGTGTCCCTTTCTTCCTTCTTTACAAAGTGCATCATATGTTGTGATGGACCACATCACTTTGGCCTTCTTGTGTCAGCTGTCCTGGCTCTATCCCCTCCCAGCTCCTCCTGCTGTCCCAGCTCCTCACTGGAAGGGCAGTATAAGTATAGAAGTCCTTGACCATATGAAACTGAAACATCTGTGTGTTATCACTGCTACTTTCATCAAAAATCCAAAACACCACGCCATACTAGCATCTCTAAAATTAACTCCATCTCAGCCAAAACCATGATGGGACAGAAATAGCAGTAACGGACTATAAGAGTGTAATTGTAAACTGCATGCCTGCTTATTTATTTATGTATTTATTTTTGATACCTACTGTTTCCAGAGCCAAACACTACAGATTCAGAAAACCACTATGTCAGTTATTCAGTTTTCTTCTGCTAGGAATGATTTCAGAAGATGAAACCTAAAGCAAAGTGACATGGCCATGTCTACTCAAGCAGTTAATTTTCTTTAAAATACCGTTTGTTACGAGTGAGTTGTGACCCCGAGAGAGATGAGGCACCAATTTGCTCTCTTTTCAACGTTTTTCCTGTAATATTAGTTCTAATGCCTTTGGCAATGCTGTTTCAGAGTATGCTAGTCCATCCATATCTACTTATAAAAGCAGCCAGTAACTAGCATGTTTAACATAATGACAGTCCCGAAGAGAGTAATGGAGCAAGTCTACCGATGACATTTCTGAACACATGAAGGAGAAGAACATGTCATACCAATGGTAAATTGCAGTGGACCAACTTAGCCACTATCTATAATGAAATAACTGGTTTTGCAGATGCTAGGAAAACTGTGGATGTCTGATAGTTTGACTTCAGCAACGCTTTTGATACAGTCTCCCACAGTATTCTGGCTCCATAGTAGGACATGACTGCCTGGATGGGTGAAGACTTGGACGGTGAAATGTTGGCTGCGCTGTTGGTCTCAAAGGTTATTGGTTAATAGGTGACACTCTGTCTGAAAGCATGTGACACATGAAGTTCTTCGGGGGTTTTCTTTTTAATACTTTCTTAAGGCTAACTGTGTAATACTTCTGACAATGACTTGGACAATTAAAAATAATTTACACTGTCAAGTTTGTGGACAGCACCAAACTAGCTGTATAGTCAATACTCTGGATGACAGGGCTGTCGTTAGGAGGTGCCTAGATGGGCAGTAGAAATAAAATTCAACAAAATCCTGCACCTGAAGCATACTCCCTGCACTGCAGGCTGAGGTCTGTCTGACTTACAGGATAGTAAGACTGTTGAAGTTACCTTATGAGTTCTTATGAGACAACAGACTAAATGTGAGCCACAAATATGTCCTGGCAGTGATGAGAAACAACAGCATCTTGGAATATAGCAGGTCAGTACACAGGAAGTTGCAATTGCTTCTTCTTACTTGTCACTTGTTAGAACAAGTCTGGCACAGAACATCCATTTTTGGGTGCATCAATGTGAAAAAGTTATTGATAAACTTGAGCAAGCCCATCAGAGGCTACCAACATAGGAGAGGGTGGGAAGAACATGTCCGACCTGGAGAAGCTGAGGAAACCAGACTAGGTCTGCCTTGAGAAGAGAGAGCTTCAGTTAGACCTGCAATAGCATTGACAAGGGAGTTACATACAAAAAGCAGAGCTATAATCTCTAGTGAGATAAACATCAGGAGAATGAGAGACAATGGTCATAAATTGAATCAGTGGAGATTCTGACGGTACAGAAAGTGAAACAGATCTCTCTGAGGACAGCTTAACTTTCAAAGAGGTTCCCCAGGTAAACTTGAACCTCTTAGGTTTTTGAAACAAAGCTGGGGAAAGCCCTACTTTAAGAAAAAAGTTTTATCTCTGGGTGTACTTCTCCACCTTAATGTTTCTATAATTCTCATTTTAATTGTCAAGCAGAGAAATAAAAAATGTCCAGGCAAATTCAGGTTAACTGGAAAAAAAAAAAAAAAAAAAAAAAGAGAGAGGAAAAAAAATAGTACTTCAATTGGCTAAGTCGTGCTGGGAGGACAGCAACTTTCTCAATTTGCCCAAGAGCAAAATTGTGTCTTAGATGATGTGTGAATTCATTGACTTAGGTGACTAAACTTTGTCAATGAACTGTTGACTACTTTTTCTGTATTTGCCCTTCACCTTGGCTGATATACATTTTGTATATGTATATAAAAATATATCTATAATCTCATATTTTGACACCTCTTTTACACTTTTTCCTCTTACATTATCAGGTTTCTTCTTCACAGACGTCACTGAATATGTGTATCAAGAGTTTAAAAACATTCCCTCTCCACCAACTTTTGCAAAGCTGGCATGCATTCAGAGTTTCCATTCTTGAAGATGCAAGAAAATTGGAATTTATTTTACAGACTTGTAGGACGTCATATTGCTTTAGGGAAATGCTTAGAAAATCTGAATGTGCTTCATTTAATAATACCAGAATTATACAGGTGCTGTTCTAGCATAAAGTCAGTCATGATATTTTGGAAATGCAATCATTATTTTTAAAAACTTTGAGAAGACACCATCAGCATTTCTCGCTGAATTTGTAGAGTTTTCTGCCTCATAAGCCTCCCTGTTCCCACTGACATTTGTTAACAATAAAGAGAAGGTGCACAGCATTTTTACAGCAGAGTCACTGGTTGAGGATGAAAGGGACCCCTGGAAATCACACTCAGAAGCCTCCCTGCTCATATAGAGTCAACTAGACTGAGTTATATTACTTCCTCTATTTATAACTAGATCAAACACTGTCATTTTGACAGTGCAGATTTTGGTGTGATTATCCTAATGTCTGAATGTCAGCATTATAGTTTGATTCTTACTCAAGAACCACTGGGAACTGTGTTCTGAACTTCACCTTTACTACAAGTAGATTCTGGCTTCAGAGATGAAATCTATTAATCCTCCCATTAAAAACCAGAGATTTAGTGGATCAGT